GGATCATGAAAATACACTTATATCCATAATACCACTTTCACAAAAAAGAAGAAAAAAAAAAAAAAAAAAAAATCCAATCCACTCACCAATAACTTTGACTCCTTCAGCTTTGCCTCTGGTACCAAGTTGTACTTTGCTGCCATCACTGCTAGGTTGTGGGCTGTTTCTGGGTCTACAGAGTGGAAGATGGGCATCACCCAGGTGTCATAAAACTTTTCATTCTTGAAGTATAAGTTGATGCCAACAAACACCACCGTTCCTCCAATTGAGAGCTTGATGACATCGCTGACTTTTTTCTGTAAAATGGATATGACACTAACATCTTTTTTATTAAAACTAGAAAGATGAGCATATATCTAAAATCAGTTTCATTTTTTTGGCCTGGAAAGTTAGTGAGAGTAATCCCCTTAACCCATCTGCCCTGGGGCACATCTGTCTAGTTGATATATCCTACACAGCTCAGTATCTCCAATCAGACATGCTTTGGGGATTGGAGATACATGTTTTCTTTATACCCTGTCTCTATCTTTGCTAGCCTCTCTATGTTGCCAACTGCATGTGCATTTCTCACACCACCAAAATTCTTCTGATTTTGATGCAATGCTGACAGTTTTTTTCATGCCATACAAGGTATGCACCTCTTGCCAAACACAATCAAGGGAAAAAAATAGAGGTATGTTTTCTCCAGACCTTACAATTGTAGCTGTAGCAAACTATTTTTCAGGAGGCTAAAAAGTTACTATAATCCTATTTTTGAGAGGCTGTAACTCCTCAGTGACCTCAGTCATGGCCAAACAAGCACACACAACTGAGAACAGGCTCAACCATGTGTGGCATGGTGGTCTCTGCCACCTGCTGGCACATATATCTAAAACTCTAACCCAAAGTCTGTCAGTCACATGTCCACAGATGTTCCCAAATACATTGAGGGGATATACTGCCTAAAGCAACTTTCTATTACCTTGAGATAATAAGCTTACTTTTTCCTTCTGATACTTCCCCTTTCCAAAAGTACAAGCTATATCACATTGCACTTTCAGGTAAGTGTGTGAGGACTATAATTTGACAATACAAAATTTGACTAGCAGCATCCAGTATCCACATCACTGAAGGTGGATTTGAATGTTCAAAGCATCATGGTGCTCTCAGCTTGAGTAAGCTTAAGCAAATGATTTGACTGACTGTTGAAATATACCATGACATCAGATTACAGATTACTATCTATATATTATATAACTTACCTTTCATTTCATCACAGATGAAAAGTGTCTTAGATACTGTCAATTTATCAATTCCATGTGCTGTTTGCATTGCAGATGATGGCCAACATATATTAAAAGAACCCTAATGTGAATACCAACTGCTTCCTAAACAATTAGGACTAAGCTCCAAGATAATTCAGATGAATGGAACAAAAAGTGGTTGAAATCATACAAAGTGAAGTTGGCAAAGAAACTATATTCATAACTTCGTGAAACAATTCTTTACTATTTTTACAGATGCATTTTCATAGAATGGTAAGTTATATTATAACACATGTTAAACTATACAGGAAAAATATGTCATAATCAACAAATCTACAAAGCCAAGATATATATATATATAGAGAGAACACTTACCACATTTGGTGGCAGACTGGAAAATCCTCTCTTTTGAAATGAAAAAATAAAATTTCTAAATTATTCAATGCATACACAACCACTCACACTCAAAAACACACATGCAGGAATATAATATATATATATATATATATATATATATATATATATATATATATATATATATATATATATATATATATATATATTTATATATATGTACTTTTAAATGATATTCTAAAAGAGTAGAATATCATATTTATTGAATTACTGAAACAATACTTTTTGAAAAAAAAAAAAAAAAAAAAAAAAACAATACTTTATTTACTTCAAAGCATTAGTTACACACTCTTCATCTTACAAAATCTGGTATAGTTCTTGCATGTTTTTTATCTTTGAATTTTTACTGTTTCCTTTGCACAAATAATGCATGCTGCTAGTGAAGCTAGTATAAATAGATGGCATTTGATAAATACTGTTAAGATAAGGTGATTTTAGTTTCCAAAAACCAACCATGGCAGTGATAGTGATGGTTATGAAGAATGGCATGGTTTCAGGTGAACATTGTAGCCTTCACTAAAAGGCCAAAAATCTCCCACAAGCAGTTATAGACCTTCTTGATAATTTGTCATCAAACAATAAACCAGTCTAAGCTTTCTATGTACTTGAGTTTGTTCCCCTTTCCCGAAGCACTGGATGAATGAAGATCACAATAATCACCAGATGATGCAGACTATCATGATAGTGACCATCACTTGATGCTTTGCCAGCTCTCCTTGATATAGCACTGTTATCAGGAGGATTATGAGGGGAGGAGTCCCCTGTATTTATCAGTATATTTCAGGGTAATGGCCAGAGCAAAGATTTAGTTTTTCTTTAAGCATGACCCTAAGTCTTCAGCGAAGCAAATTCATACAACAAGCTCTACCTCTCTCTCATTCATCCATTCTCTTCTTCATTCATTCATTTATTTTTTTCTTCTTTTTAGTGTTTCCCCTCACTCTTATCCTGAATTTCTTATATCTCTTTCTCTCTTTGCCTTTATCAGACTGAACTGTATATATCAGTAACTTGCCTGTTTATAATTGAATCATCTAAATTTCTGGCTCAAACTGATACAATTCAACTCTAAATTTGCTCTACTGTTGCTCTACTGCCTATTTATCATCCAGACAACAAATTCAGCCAAAAATTAAGCAAATCAGAGAAAACATAAGTTGATTCTGTTTAAGTAGTACTGGCAGCACCAATCAATTGACTGCAACAATTCAAAATTATTTTTAACCCATTGGATCCATCTGACAGTCATTTTGTCATGGAATAGTATGAGCAACAGGTGGGTGATGGAAATGTCTCATCATGGAAAAAAATTTGGAGGGGCAGTTGACTAGAACATCTTGTTGGGTGATAGGGATGTCCTTTTAGGAGTGCACAAAGAACTTGGAGTAAGGTTGACTGAACAGTTTTCAGGATGAGGCTCATTCACAAATTCCTGAAAGATTTCCAGTCCATGAGGAGGTAATTTACCAGCCATCTACCATGCCTGAGAGAGGGCCTTCTCCTGGGAGGAATCTATGTATACACACATGATCCTCTTCCTGCTCTCTATTCTGAGTAATGTGGGGTATTAAGGAAAATTGTGTAATATGAAAATAGAAAAAATAACATGAATAATACATTGTTACTAATCATTACAGTCATTGCTGAGAGTTTAAACTGCTAGGAAAGATAATATGGTTTGCTCATCAAAAGTAGTTGATTAACATCTTGATGCAGTATAACAAATGACAAATAGAAAAAAAAGGCAAAACCATGTTTGCACAAAAAAGCCTAATAGCATTGAAAAGACAGGGCAAGGAATCTGAATAGATACCATGTGTAAGTGTTGATGTGGGTTGGGTCAATAATCCACACAACCTGGAGTTACCACTCAAGGAAGATTTTGGTTCACACATGCACCACGAGGCATCTGGATCCAAGGGGATAACAATGAATTTATTTGTTAATGGAAATTACTAAATGACACCAAAGTATCAATTTTGTGCAAAATAAGACGGACTAGCAGAATTTTTATAATGTTTACTCTGTCATTTCCCTAATATATTTCATATCTTCTCAATAATCAGGGCCAGTATCATCATGAACAGAGAGTAAGTCCATGGCGATCAGGTGGTGGTCCAGGGGCAGAGCCCAACAGGTATATACAAAGCCCTGTATTTGTTAATGAGAGCTACATACCCTCCAGAGAAGAAGTCCCAAAACCAGGGTACCATGTGAACCAAAAAATCTAAACCTAACCTTTGGCCTTCTGTACCCCCTCTTATTAGCACTTTGTGCCAACTGCCACAATGATTTTGTTACAGAAAATATCTGTGACATATACATTCAGTAAGGAAGGTGCAGATGAGCTGCGGCTAGGAGTAGTTATAAAAAACAGATTTATAGAAAAGATGAAATTAAGAAGTCTGGCTGAGTAAGGGTGTTGTGCAGTGGATATTTTTTCATTTTGCAGTAAATATGAGGCAGCAGCAGTTGTACCTGTACTGTTTATGACTATTTATTATGCTCTCTTAGATAGCAGTATCCATTTCCCTCTAAAGTTGGGAATTGCTCTCGGTAACATCATCCGAAAGCCCTTGGGTTACAAAGGTTTTTGGTTCATATATCGTGGCTGGAGCAATAGGGTGAGGTCACTTTGAAAACATTTACCAATACTTCATGAATATCATATGCAATGGGAAATAACAAGAGACTGAAACAAGGAATAATAATTGCAAGGCTGGATGGCTGTGTGAAATTTAAGAATTACCCAGTTTTCATACTAATGACAATAAGATTTTTCTAAGAAATTATCAGCTGAATTATCAACACAAATAACTTCACAGGAAGCAGGTTATGCAACTAGTATATATCTTCATCAAATCTTTGCTAAAATGATTTGATCATTAAGGACTATCATAAAAAATTATTTTAATTACTTTTCGTCTTAAGTGAGTTACTTGTGATCTACTATTATGAAAGTTTGTACTGTGAGCTGTATTGTTATGTAACAGTGTGACTATCCAATTCCTACGAATGTTATTCAATTAATTAAAGAAATAGTAAAGTCCTAATTACGTAAGCGATCCTTTTTCCACACACAATAATAGAAGAAACGGTTTTATCAAAGTATACGCTGAATCCATTACAAAGATATGCCATTGAGAGAGAGAGAGAAAAAAAAAAAACATATTTCACTCCAACATTACAAACACTTACTTTCAACACAGGAGTGTGAAGTGACTTAACAAATGCAGCTGCCCTGCTTCTGAGGAGGAGAGTTTGCAACATGGTGTGACAAGACCAGAAAACCGCACTTCCCGGCGCTTGCGAAGACGGCTCCCGCGACCAGCTGATTCGCCT